GTAGCACCACACTATAGGTAAAGCAATTAATACCAAGGTTAATGTGTGTGACCCAGTTGCAAGGAAGATGTAAAAATGGGCACTATGTACATCCAAGATAACATGGCTTGAAGTGTAAGAACATGGCAGGCAAGAAGTATTTCCTATGTTTCTTTGAAATGCAGTGGGGTGTTTGGGAGCAGCAAGTCTTTTGATGTCCCTGCATTTGCACATCTGTAGAACAGCTTCTTCAAAGACTTCCCACTCCAGTAAGGTGTTCCCCTGTGTGCCAGAGTTGCTGGGTTGACAGGACCACGTGCTTCACAAAGGAGACTTCAAGGGCTTGTTCCACCTTGCAGAGAAAAAATACATGTGACAAGTGTCACAGAAGTATTTTGGAAATTCTCTTGAAGCACTTAGAAACAATTTAATTCCTTTTATTTCACAGAATATTTTTTTACATGCTGAAAAAAAAAGTAAACTTGAAAACTCAGTCTTTAAGAATAAAAATGTGAGACTGAGGAAGGGAGAAGTGATCGTGGCATGGAGCTAACATGAAGTGGGGCAACACACTTCCCCCTCCCTCCCCTCATGCTCATTTGGCAGCACTGGATCAAAGTGGGGAAGTAGTTTATTGGGCAAAGTAATTTAAAAAACTGTTTTAGCATGGAGTAGCATCACTCTTTGGAGTCAGAGGATGATGGATGCTTTCGTGTAGGCCAGACATGGGCTGTCTGCAAGACTGGGAGGGTGGAAGGAACACACCATTGAATTTAGCAATCTTGTATTTTAATATACAAATAAAATGGTTTCTTTCGTCTCCAGCCATACCCTAAGGCAGCCTCAGATCATATAAGGAGCACTGGGAGATAAGATCTGGTACTAGTGAGATACCACACTGATACTTGATAGCATCCACCCTGTTTCTGACTGACAGGCATGTTTGCACTCCCTTTCACAGCAAATATGCTTCTACTTCTTAGCAATCTGTGCATCACTTGCACTGCAGCTAACTGGAATTGATTCAAATTAATAATCTTTATTAAAGATGCAATTAGTACTGAATAGGCAAAATACTTAAAGGTTGTTTTTCATGACTTTTGCTAAAATTAACGTTTGGAATACAGGCAAGTTCCCACTTTCCATTTTAAAACAGATCAGGCTTGGGCTTCCTGTGAAACTTTTCACTAAGGTTAAGGGCTGGAGAGGGAAAAAATGTTAGCAGAGTATATCATGAAACACAGGCAGCTTGTAGCTCTCTTTTAGAACAATTTAGCATGATTGTATGTGTAACCCAACATGTGCACTTTTTTCTCTGTGTAAAACCATTTGGATTTTTTAAATTTTAAGATTTGCAAAGGGGTAGTGGTTTCTGACAGGCAGGAGTGGAAAAAATTACCTGTGTGACTCTTGTGAAGCCTCTTGGAAGGCTTGAATTTGGAGGAAGGAAGGTAAAGAGGGAGCAAGCACTATGTATGTATGTGTGAGGAAATGGCTCTTGAACACTTCACATTTTTGGTGTCTGTAGGATTAGATTGCCATTTTTGTTGTTTCACTTTTATTCTTTGTAGTGCCTTTCTATTTGGCAAGCTTTACTTTAAGGCATGATCAATCAACATCTTAGTATTGAAATAATCAGTCTATTGAGAATTTAAAGTGCTAAGGCAAAAGCCTGTTGAGAGGTGGTATGATCATACTGAAATACTGCAGAGGAATCCTCTCCTTTAACATACTTTTAATTTTAAAGCAGCTGAAAGACATACATACATACTATCAACATCTTCTCAAGTGCATTTATTATGCTAAGCCCACATAAAAAGTAGGGTGGGATATCTTATTTAAAAAACACTCCAAAGATAAAACTCTTGAGTCCAAGCTGCCAGAGAGACCATTGAATAAGGAAAACCACTGTCTCTTAACAATAAGATGATCCCATGGGGGATAGATGATTATCCACAAGATAATTTTGCTCCCATGTATTTTAAGTGTCAGCAGCTTTCCCTTCCAAACCCAGCACCTTGGGTATGATGGCTTATTATAGTTTATTCTCCACTGTGCACTGAAGCCAAAACACTAGAGTACAAGCTACCACTTAAATGAATCTTGTTTTCTCAGTTCTTGGTGCTGGTAGGTTACACAATTTCTAAGACTGAACTGAGTATCTGTGGGGAAATAAAAAAAAACGCAGTTGTAGGATGCAAGTCAGATTCTTACTTCAAGGGCTGGCAACTCAAAATCTTGTAGCAGCCTTCTTGATGTTGCAGTTTGCTTCTGGTCCTTACTTAAGACCTTATCTAGCATCAGGCCAGGGACAGACTACTCCTTCAAAAGGTAAGGGTGTTCTTGCAGGCTTAAGAATAAGATTAGGACAATCACAAATAACAATTCAAAGCACTTAAACCCTCTTGAATCCTCAGAGAGGTCAAATGTCAGAAATATTTTTAAATAGATACTGGAGCTTTTATTTCTAGTAAGAAAAAGGATTTACCACGTTGTAATTTCTTTAAGATTATCTCAAAAGTAATTGAGAAATGAAGCAAGATTTTGTTGCAGCCTAAGCTGGTTGCAGCTGGAAAGCCTTCAAGTTCTTCAGAGCACTGTGCTGTGGGAATACAGAAACACAGTCCCCTCCTTCTGTCATGGCTGGTGCCCTGCCCAGTGGCTACAGACAAGCAATGCCTCTTTGTTCTTTAACCCCCAGTTGAAGCAGGGATGTGAATCTGACAGGTTGAAGCAGCACTCTCATCCTGCTTCAACTGGGTCAGCCTTTTTGAGAAGGGCATAGTGAAAACAGTTTTTCAAAATCCAAACACTGGGGAGAAAATAAACAAAACAAAACAAAAAAACCCACACAACTCCCTCCCCCCAAAAAAAAAACCCAACGAACAAAAACCACCAAAACCAAACAAACAGCAAAGCACAAAATAAACCTAAAAAAAACCCAAAAAGAAAACAAACAAAAAAACCAACACCACCTCACAATGGATTATCTAGTACCTGGCTATTTGCAAAATTTGATGGTGTTTTCCCTTCAGCACATGTGGTTTTAGCTGCTGACAGCTGGATAAAGCTAATACAATAGTAAGACAATTTTTGTATCCATAGCTCAACCCATGACCTCTACACCAATAAATGAACCCTACCTCCTAGCTGAGCTCCCTTGAAGAAAGTGATGGTGTCTGGGCTCATTCTCTCCACAACTACTTGGCAGAATATTTCCACTGGTTAATAAGCTATGGGATAAAGAAATTAGTTACTTTATCCACACTTGCCTTATCAACAAGCACAAAAGTTGCTATCCTCCATGTAAACTCAAAAACAAAGAGGGGAAAAAAAAACCTTTTAATTTTTTAAGAAAACAAAAATTTCTATGCTCTTAGGGTTATCTGAGCAACTCACCCTTCTGAAAATCTGTCAAGTTTGTGAAGTATCCTGCACTAGAAGATTCTTGCAGGCAGTGCTTAGGACATGATATGCAGGGAGGACAGACAACAATCTACCATGCTGCTTTCTCATTTGTTTTTTTTTTAATTTCCTTTTTTTTATCCTATTTTTTTATTTTCAAATAGGATTTAGCAGCCTACAGCACAAGATTCTTAGTGCCATTGAAACATGGGCTACTGAGGATGAAGTTTTATCAGTAGAGGCAACACAGCTGTCAGTTCTTGGAAAACTTATTCTCTGCTATTCTTTGAGTCTTGCTGTCCTTACAAATTCCTTTTTCAGTGTCTTGATCTCTTCCATCCTGAAACACCAGCATTGGCTGAAACCTGAGATCACAGTACAAGCTTTTTTCTTTCCTGTAGAACAGTAATAGGCTTTGCTGTAACTTGACTGGGGAAAAAAACCAGAATGTTTTTAGAAGATTGAAGAAACAGAAATTTTAAGTTCCTTTATCGACTCTTTTCCTTATTTACATAGAAGGTGGTTTCTGCCCAGTTCTGGGAGAGGTGGGTCTTTGCAGGTGTCAGTGGATCCATGCTTACCCAGAGCCTGGGTGATCAGGAGTGAATATTGGTTCATAGGTAGAACGATCTATTCAATTAGAGGATGTTTTTCGTGAAGACTTGTGGGAAACTTGCAAGTTCAAGGCTATGATATCACAAGGGGAAGAGAATGAATAAAGGGTTTCATTGGCTTCCCTCTCTTCCACCCACACAGCAAAGGAAATATCTGTGTATGTGTGGACATAAATAGATGTGTGTGCACCAGAAATAATACACAGCTGAGCCATGACAGTGCCTTGTTTCACCAAAGATTACAGTTAAACACCCAGTGAGTTCCAAGAGAGAGTTTTAAGAGGATTACCATCTCAAAAAGATTACAGTAGGGTAGCTGAATCAATTCTCTGGTTTGAGATCTACAAGTTGAACCTAAACAAAAGTGTATGAATGTTTAATTAACTACCAGGCCAGCTGAAGTGGTCTGAAACTTTCAAGACTTGCCTGTTTTATTATTCACATAATTCTCTTTATTGCACAGTAAGACACTTTGACAAATTAAAGTCCCAAAACTGGTATAACTGATGCTACAAAACTAGTGCACTCTGCTCCATACAGTGGCACAATCATTATGGATTAAATCCACTTTAAATGCTCCAAGGAGATAAGCCTTTTGTCCTACCACCAGAGGTACAAGTATTTAATAATATACCAGCATTTGGATAAGTTCCACTGCCACCTGCTCATGTACAATGAGCTGTGTATGACAGTGTGTTATAATAATTATTTGCTTTTTACTGTTCAGGAAACCAGCAGCATCCTCCCTCTAAGGAATGTGGTGCACAGCCCACAAAGTATTTGTCCTGTCTTATCTCTAACACTGTTTAAGGAGGGAAGGAAGGGAAAACTTAACTTTCTCTAACTGCTCAGACATTCCTGCAAGAGGACAAATGCAAAGCTACAATCATATGTTAAAGTGATGTCTTTAAGTGTGTTTATGTGATTTCTAAAACACATAAGGCAACCAATTTAAAAACATTTTCTCTGAGAAATTCGCTGTGAATAATGAGCCCTGTGTGATCACAGAATTAAAGCCAGTGCAGAGATGCATGCAGGAGGTCCTTCAGAGAAGTGTCTCCAGTTCCATGAGCTGTGCTTGCTTTACTTCTGGCTCCTGGGCTGTGAGGCCATGTACAGTGCTACCAGGCAGTAGATTGTCCCTCCTATTGTTAGAGCCATAGTGGTCCGATAGAGCAGCTTATCTGGAACTCCTCGTTTCAGGTGTACTGGGAGCCCATCTGCTTTCTGTGGGAAAGGTCAAAAAAGAGAACAAAACAAAAAGAAATGAACACCCATACCAAGGCTGTAAGGAAGAAGCTACCTCAGGTAAATTAAGAGACTTCTGTGAGGGAAATCTCCCAACAGACAGGCTGTCTCTTAGCAAGTGTATTGTGTTTTTCATTTAGCAAGACAAATGCAAAGGCAAGTTAATTTTATTAGTTAAAGCTGTTAAGTGCAAGCAGAAAGAATATACCTTGAAATATTTCTAAAAAGGACCTTGGATGGGAAAAGTGTTGCTAAGAAAAGAATGTGAAAAGATAGGTATAAAAATTATTCACCAAGTCAGACTGATATTCCAAATGCAAGTGGCATGTAAGAGAGAAAAGGGAACATTATATAAAGCACATTCTCAATGTTTTTGAAAAAAAGTGCTTAACTGATTGTTTTATGGCAACTCCTGTTATGCTTAAAAATTGCATAGCTACCAAAACATCTTTCAAAACTTTACTGTGCTCTTCTTACACTGCATTATAAATAGCTTCAGAAGTATTGAGATTATTAGACACAAACCAATAATGATCTGCTCTGCTTCTCCAGACCTGTTTTAAGGCATATGCTGGGATTCTCAGACAGTGCTTCAAATACTCAGATGATACAGTAAGCATCTTCTGAAGCCAGCAAAAAGGCAGAAAACATTTCTGGACTTTCCACCTCCTGTGTTTATCTCCTACACAAGGCATATGTACAGTTATACGGGTTATACTGTACTTGACAGAACTTTGGTATTGTAGAACTTGACAGATTTTACAGAACTTGGGTATTGTAGAATGACAGAAGTGGTTAGCCACGTTAAAAATACTCAGATGATACAGTAAGCATCTTCTGAAGCCAGCAAAAAGGCAGAAAACATTTCTGGACTTTCCACCTCCTGTGTTTATCTCCTACACAAGGCATATGTACAGTTATACGGGTTATACTGTACTTGACAGTTTCTTAACTAGATTTTACAGAACTTTGGTATTGTAGAATGACAGAAGTGGTTAGCCACGTTAAAATAAGGGAAGATATGTTCTGCTCTCCAGTTTTCTTCAAATTACTCTCAAAGCTGTCATTACCTGAAAAAGTTTCTGTAGGTCTGGCACCTTGTTTTTACCCAAGAAAGAATCAGTTGCTGGTAAATCTGAAGCAAGTTTAGTTGTTGTCCCAAGAATCTGAGTGGAGGGTTCAGTGGGAACTATTGGTTTGAGTCCCTGCATAAACAGAGATTAAAATATCAAGGTACATAACACTTGCAAATGTACCAATTGTCACATTAAGCAGACATACTGCCAGTCATCTTTGATATATTACAAAGAATATTTATCCAGCATGAAGACACGTGACAATGAACTAAAACACATTTGTTGCCCCACTCATTTCTCAGCTACAACTTTGGGTTGGGGCTTACCAAGAACAAAGAAGCCTCGTTTCCAATTTCTTACTACATAAATGTATAGCTACCAGAAGTTTTTCTGTGCTGGTACTTGGTCCAAATTGCTGGGTTTTTTGGCACATAGTCTGACCATCTAGGGGTGGGATTAGAAGCAGGGAATCCCTGATGCTGGGTCCAACAGTTGTACTCTACATCTGCCATATCTAAAAACTACATCATCCAGTTCTATGGACAAGACTAAGCCCTCACAGTCATAACCATCACAAGGTGACCTCCTTGCCTTTATTAGTATAGTTAGCTTTAAGTTATGCATGGACAAGCAGCAGTGATGTTTCACACTATGGCTCCTGAAATGGCTGTATATTGTTTTTCCTAACTTGCCACAGAAATTAGAAGCATTGTACAAGTAGGTTAATGCAACAGGTTTTCAGTACAAACAGAAGCAACAATTGCTCTCCACGGGTCATGTTAATGCTGCACTGAAAGTTTGGCTTCTGTTCAAAGAACTAGTTGATGTGTTCTGTATTTAAAAGAGCTGCCAGGACAGTATTTGGAGCTGGAAGCAGACTGACACTTTCTCTTACGCCTGCTGTAGACTTAAGAGAATTTACCTATGGAAAAAAAACCCTCTCTGCTACAATAGGCATCTTCAACAGAAAGACTGTTTCTCAACATCCCAAAATAGCCTACAGACTGGTGATCAGGGTTCCATCCTGAAGGCATGGGTCCAGCTTCCCACTTTTCTAGTGCCTGAATAAATATTAGAATCCCTTTGTGACCTTTTTGGTCATGTTTTGAAAGACAGCAGCCAAAATTGGATTCTTTGACACATTCAGTAATGAGCACCCTCCTACTGAATAGCCTTGTGCAGAAGCCAAGTACCAAGATATTTAAGCACTTCTGATCACACCAGCAATAAGGAAGCATCTAAAAAACTATTATTACCCAAGGAAAATTGTGGGCAAAAGACAAAATCTATGGATTCCTATTAGAGCAGTGACATCAGTCATGTTAACTGTAAGTTATCACATACTTTTTCTGGCTTTAGAAATACACTCTTGCTCAGAGAGTTATAAGATTCTCTTCTGCTGGAGCAAGAGGAGATTCAAATCTGACTCAGATTACTAACTTCAACATGAAATCAAATGAAACCATTTCAGAAAACTCATAATTATCAGTGTACTGTTGTAAATGACTTCCAAAGCAGCATGGCATCAGTTAAGAACATCACATAGCAATCTAAATAAAAATCATTGAAACAGTTCATTGGCTTCAGGAAAGGGTACAACAAAATGCACACTGCAGAAGAGACAGTTCAGTTTGCTTAACGCAGACATACATTAATCAGGGTCCCTCCACCCAACATCAAATTCAGCTTGAACTCCACCCATGAATTGTGAATCTTGTGGTCAGCTCCAAGGAAGCTCAGCTAAGTCAGTGTAACCACGTGGCTGTTCCAGCTGGGTACTAGTTATTGAATATAGCAAGTGCTCTCTCACACCCAGCTGCCTGCTAAGCTTAGCATGGCTGAAGAGAAATCCTCTATATTACACACAAGAATTTCAGTACAGATGATTTTTAAGCAAGTCATTAAGATGCTTTAAATTTAAATGACCTTTGATTGTTACTTGTATTTAATCTGATGAAAACCACAGGTGTATTTAAGAGCATCCATGTCTTGCTACACTCATGACAGTACTGAGGAATCAGTACCTCTATATATTTGACCCGTGTCTCACAAGTGTTTCACATTGATCATTCCCCTTCTGATATTAAGGTGTTAATATTTTATTTCTAATCACATTGACAGGAATTTGTTCCAATTCTTGGATAACACACAGCAAACGTACTTTATCAGCAGAGACAAAATCAGATGATTTCATCAGCATGGTACAGCAATCTTTGTCAAATGCTGAAGCCTCCAGTGAAAGGTCAGGACGTGTATCTAATCCAAACCAATAAATTTCTCTGCCTACCCCTCTGTAGAGTGTGTGTCTTCCTGTCAGAGGTCTGAAGGCCTTAGGCCCCAATCTATCTGTTGGTAGGCCAACATGCTCAAAGTTAGCTGCATGAATTCACAAGATAGATTTTCATCTTCTTGACAGCACAAAACATGGAGTTGGAGCATAATTCAATGCAGACAGCACCACACTCAAGTTTTTAAATGTTAGGGGAACTGCTCAAACAGATCAGAGAAGAAGAAAATGAAAAATGGGGTAAAGACCAAAACGAAAAAGGGGAAACAGGAAAGAAAGTTAAGCTGAGAATTATTATTTCAGAACATGCATTCAGGTAACTTCTCTGAACTTGCTGAATCTAGAAATTTGTAAATAGCAGGTTCTTCATGGTAGAATACACACCTGGCTGTAGGAAATCAACTGTATTTGCTGCTACTGGCACAATGATGTTTTTAAGCTGGATCACTCGAGGCTTTGTTTGTATGAGGATGATACACTTCAGTAAAAGTGATTTTCTGTACATTTTAAGTATCACCTACAGCATGAGAGGTTAAAGTTTCTCAGTGAGCTCCACAATTCATACCAGCTACAGTCAAAAAATCTGTGGTTTGTGAGGATTTTAAATATTTATAAGTAAAACCAGTTGTATCAAGCAAAGCCATGAGAGCATGACTAAATTTCTAATAGGACCATGGTCAGCCTTGAAGAACTAGGGAATCTCTCATGACTGTATGTCCTCACCTGACAGCATTTGAAACTGATCCCACTATTTGTACTCTAAAAATAAGCCAACTCTTTGAATTAATAGTTTTTATTGTATTTGTAATGGTTATGACAGTCATTATCTTCCTAAATATTAGTATTTCACTTACTTGACTCCTCACCTGCACTAGCTGAAAAGGTTCCTGTTTGTTCAAACAGCCTAAATGGTTCATACTATTTTACCTAACTTTGTTAAATACAAAATTAAGTCTTCTAAGAATGCCAATGCAGAGATAGAAAAAACAATAGATTTCAAACTAAGATTTTTGTGTGTGTGTGTGTCAGTGTCAGCTGTTAGTTATGCTACTGTCAGCAAAAGAATTTCTAAAACACATTTTGACTGATATTTTGCAAGCCCACAATAAGCTTAAATCTGCATCAGAACAATACTCCACTGGGAAGCATCTGAATGTAACAGTACAGAATAGAGTGAATTATACTGCATATTTGATCCAGAAGAATTTGAATTGCAGGATGTCTTCATTTTTCCAGAAACATCAAGATAAACAGAGGCATAAAAAGGAAACTAGTTTATATGCTGAGCTATTTTTTTTATCAAATACAGCAAGGAAATAAATAGGAAAAAAATTTACTTCATTTTAGACTTAACATCTGCTTACTCATGTGACTCCTTTCATATTTAATGTCTATTTATTGCAAACAATTTTATCAGACTGATGCACCTGAATGTGTTACCTGGGAGTAGTGCCTAACAAAACAAAAAAAATTCTACATAAAAAGCTGGTCTAAGAACATTGTGAAAAGGGACTGAAGAGAAAACATAGCTATTCTATTGCATAGCAGGTTTCTGTGACACAGCTGAGGCCTGAGCTGTATGAATGGTAAGCCAGACAAAAGACAGTTTCTTTAATCAAAATGGAGAAAAAAGACATCTATAAAGCAAGACAATGTTCATAACTTTTATCTGAAATGCTCCTACTTGGATGCAATCTCATCTTCTCAACTATTTTCTCTCAAAAATTAGGTTTTAACATTTCAGTCATGACAATGAAATTAAACACAATGCCCAATAATGGCTTAAAAAGAAATCACTGCAATGTTCTAGAAGGGAAGTACTTTTATTCCTTGGACATTCTCTTTCCTGCCTTGCAGAGCACAGAAGTGAGATCTATCAAGACTTTTTTTTTTCTTCCTATCTGCAATGATATCTGTTTTGAACAGACCCTCTACAAACCAATTTGATACATGGCACTACAGCATTTTAATCTAGATGTCAAGAACTCAGAATTGATGGTGTCTTTCTGTACCTAGTGCAATGATATACACACCTAATATTCATTTACAGAACAGAAGGTGGGATAACAGAATTCTGTGTTCCACTCATCCTTCCTCTGACTTTTTAATCCCTAAAAATTACTTAAAATGGGTTGATTGTTGTAAGGTCATGGAGACTGCTGAACAGAAAGGTGAGCACTACTCCACAACCCAAGAGTGTTGTCCTCAGGACAACTTCCCACCAGGTGGTTATTGGACTTTTCTCTGTTGAGGCTTTTATGTTAGGATCTAGAATGCATTTTTAGAATGTATAATTTGCAGAAAAGTAACAACCTAGCATTATAGCCTTAGAAAACAGTGTTCTAAGCTACACTCTGCCAGAAAGGAGACCTTTTACTGCTTGAGCTCAAAGCCCTCCCCAGTAGCAGCCCTAGCCTTTGCTTTCCTCTGCAAATGAAGTGTCAGATGATGTTTATTCTTTGACTATAACTTTGTGTAGAAAAGCCCCAATTACTGCAATAGTGGCAAGAGTGTTTTCTGGCACTGGAGCCCATTGGACATACTCTTAATGAGCAGACATACTTTTAGGCTAGGACATATTATTTATTCTGCTGTCTTCCCTGTGCCCTGCTCCCCTGCCCCCAGTAACTACCCAGGAAGTTTTCCCAAGAGTGATCAGGAAAGAGAATAAAAATCTTGGGATGGAAACTGCCACTGGTACTTCAATATTTGGTACACCAAACTTAAGATCATTTGAGTAGCTCAGGATGGAAGGGCCCTCAAGCATTCTTTAGTCCAAAGTGTGGTGAGAACAGGTTGCTGTGGGTTTTCTCTGCTCTGGCCTTACAAAACCTCCAAGGATGGAGAC